TGGAGTTCTGCAAAGCAGTGATGGACCTTCACCGAAATGCCTTTTATCTTAGAAAGGCAAGAATCAAAAGAGAAGAGTATTTGACAGGGGCTCTTTTAGTTCTGGAATTAAAATATAAAGTGGCAGGTTCCAAAAGGCCCTATAAATACCTTGGAAGTTAGAAGTAATTGGCTCTCCTGTGAACCAGGATAGAAGAACAGGTTTTAGAAATCCTACACCAAAAATATTATAAATGACAGGCAAGCTTCTAGCAGGTAAGCTCAAGATAAAAACTGTGTGCATTGTATCAGTTAAGAACAAGTAAGATACAATCCCTAACTAACTCAGAAGAAAAAAAGCAGACCCTTTGGGCTAGTTTATAAGGAACTACATGCCTCAGATAAATTTAACATAAAAAAAAAAAAAAAAAAAACAAGAGTACTTTAAGACTCTACCTCAGCCTCTGCCAGAAATAAAAGGCACAAATTCCTGGATTTACACATCACAAAGTGAAGAGAAATATAAAACCAAATAAAACACGCAGTTTTGCAGCTGAATTTTACTATATTCTAAAGGGAATCTGAACTCTTACAGTAGTATTAATTTAATGTGATAATGTAAGAAGGAAATAGTCCATCTGCTTGGAAAAGAAACAAAGATAATTATAATAGGTGGAAAGATTGGATCCATTACACAGGCTTATTTCACTAAGACAATACTGGAATGAATATATTAGTGGATTGATTTGATGTAAACTAATTAAACACACACCCAGATCAATGAATGTTAAGTATAAGCAAGCAAACTGCAGATAAATATGAGACAGGTCCTTGATAAAAAAGATAAAACCACCAGAGTACCTTACAGTCTCTGGATTCAGAGAACAAACAGAACTGCCCTGGAAGGGCTGAATTAGGAGGAAAGAAGCCTCAAAAAATTTCTGAGAAGCAGCAGCAGGCAGGAGTTAATGCAGGGGTTTAATGCAACTGCTTGCCCTAGTCATAGGGCTTCTGGCCACAACAATCTGCTGGATCTACAGCCAGAAGGAATAAAAGGATGGAGCAAAGCAGAGCCCTTTTATGCTTTAAAACAAACAGATCCTAAGTAAATTTAGCTCTGCACAGAAACTTGAGTGAGAAAACATGTCTTCTATTCTAAATTAATTTACAGAGACATGCAAAATAAAGGTAATATTAAACTGCATTCAGATCACATTTCAGCTTTACAGACACTGTTGTCTGGCAGCTTTGTGAAATATCCATTTATGACAGAAGAAAATACAGCCTAATCAAAATACTACTGCAGTCATAAGGTGTCCTCAAGGCATTACTGTAAAACATCTTGAGTGCCCTTGAGTCACAAGAGAATTTTTGTTAAGACAAGAGATTAAATATGTGCACAAATACACATACACAGAGTTACACTGCATACAATACGCTGCTATGAAATCCTATCAGCGGAGTTTTGAAAGTACACACATACACAAAATTAACCACAGGAGATTACACAATCTGATGCTGCAGAAGAAATTCATTTATTTTAATTGGCATTACTGCACATAACTGTACATTCATTCGCACGTAATTGGTATTCTTCTTTTATAAATATTTTGTGTGTTCTTGAACCACAATACCAGAAAGAGTACCAAAGAGAAAAAACCCACCCCAGCAGAGTCAAAATAAATTTTAACCACAGTTCTTCAGAGAAGTTGCTCAGCAGTTTCTGAAGGAGGAATAATAAAAAGGCATTTTACTGTTACCACTACCAGTGTTCTTTTAATCATGAAGAATTATCAAAACCACATCACAACGTCTAGGGATTGTTAGCTTGACTTTGCTGACCCTGTTTGCTAACTGTGTCACTGCGAAGGAAAGGAACTGCAAAGAACTGCGATTTCAAAGGCTGGTGCGCTCACTTGGATTCTCCCCCCCCAAAAAAAACCCCACAATACCTTTCACCCTGCTTCAAAGGTTTACTCCCTCACTGGAATGCAAAATGACTGGAGTGGAGGAAATTAAGATACACACGCTGCAACTTCACCCAAACCCACACGCGCCGGAAACACCCGAGTGGGCCGTCACCTCCCTGAGTAATCCAACACCATTACACGGCGGTGAATCAACAGCAGGCCTGAGACCTCTAACACTCACAACACAGAACTTACAATTTTGAGTTTGTTGCCAGTTGCAGGAGATGGGTGTAGCTCTGTGAACACAGGTTGTTCTGGAAGCAGCTGTGTCTGCTGGGGGGCAGCTCCCGCTCCCTCCCCTGGCTCTGCCCTCCCCATCCCACTGCCCATGATGATGCAGCTTCCGAGGTCAGGAGGCAAATCAGAGCACCAAAACCATCAGGGAAACGTCACTGACAACTTCTAATTAGCAACCAAAATCATGTTAGTGATAAATATAATCTTAAAAATTCAATAAATACCTGATCTTTGTGAAGCACTTGGGTGAAAAAAATTCAGAACCCCCAGTGTCCCACTTATGCCCCCACAAAATCCTGACAGCGAAGGCAACAGTGATGCAGGTGGCCTGAAGGTACACACTCGCCATGTGAACATGTTCTAGGGAATTAAACCCTCGGACCTCATTGTTATGCAGGTACATTTATTCAAGGGGGTGGGAGGATTCCTGCAGATCCTTTCCTTCGCATCCCAGAGACCAGGAAGGCAGGCAGGATGAGGAGAGCACGGAGGTTTGGGGTAAGCAAAGCAAACAAGTGAGATCCCACATGGGGCTGCTCAGACCAGCGCAGGAAAATTGCTTTGTCACTGTCAGTGACAGGGTGACAAATTCTTTTTGTATATTATTAGATAAGTAATGGCCTTTTTTATCAACTTTTAAAGCACCAAATTTGTAGTTCGCCAGAATTGCAAAGCAAATAAATAAAACAAATTTCAGGCTTATAATACTGTATGCTACACAGAAAAGTAAATGGATGGATTTTTTTTCCTTATTATGTTGTGAAGAAATACAGAATTCATTAAATATATTTATTTAAAAAACGCAGGCAGCAATGAATTCACCTCATGACATGTTATAGCTTGATAGACTAACACTTATCTGAAAAACTATTTTCCAGTGGAGGGATGTTTTCCATTTAGACATTGTTAATATAACAAACCTTATCATCTCCTCCCCTGAAGAATGCCGAACAGAACTTCTCAATAAAGCAGCTTACTTCAAAGGCAGAATTGCAATAAATTAAACATACAGTATGGTCGTTAGAGAAAACCTCATCTGTTAAATACTGCTATATTGTTTTTCAAGAAGACCCATCTCTTTTTCTGTTTGGCTCAAAGACAGAGGTACAGCCATATCAAATCTTGTTATTTCAGAACTGACATTTTTCATTTACAAAATAAGAAACACATATTTGCAAAGCTCTGCATATACAGAATCCTTAATATTGCTTTGGGAGATAAGCCAAAAGGAATACTAGGGACTGATAACGGAACATCTGACAAAGATACAGCTTTGTAAAGAAAACACAATTTAAGATTATTTGTCTATGTACAGTTTTCCAAAGGTTGTGAGTATCGTCAGAGGACTTGTGCTTTCCTGGGCTTTAAATTGTAAATGTGATATACTTCAGAGATACAAAATCACAAAAGGACAGAGTGTCTGCACGTGTGTCTTCCCCAAACTTATCTTTTTATGCAGGTACCTCCCTCAGATCAACCACTCCTGCAACAAAAGACTAAGGAGTTCATAAGGAAAGAAAATCTCCTTCATAAAAGCAGTGAATGACAACCACAACCTGAGGCTCAAATCACTAAGGGCATTCTTGCAAAACAGACATTTTTCCCCACTATGAGATACACACCAACTACAGTAACTAATGCAAAGAAGTCAACACCATGATGCACTGCTTCAACTTTTCATGACAAGTATCTTCAAGATCAAACCAACACAAACTGGGACTCTCACCAGAAACCAAACTAACAGATTACTGTCATCTAAGGATTAAAACAAAATCAGCGACACTACCAGGCAACTCCAAGGCACAGCAAAGTCACACTGCTGAAAAACACAACTCCCCCAAATAAAACTTGGGGTAGTAAGACATTAGAAGTGAGGGGAAAAAATTCTGGCACTGTGAGAAATACATCTTAACTTGATTCAAGCAAGGGAAAACAGCCCGTTTTTTCCATTGCATTTGTCACCACTGTGTCTCTGCATCTTCACTTGTGGTTTCCCCTGGAATACACATATGCACTATTTACACAGACGCACAAGCACGACTAAACACTCTACCCCAAAACATTCAAAATGTGCTGCCAGATGGCTTTAAAAAGAAAAATGAGATCTAATTAAAAGCTCTTACACTGCCAACATTCCATTTTTGGAAATAAATACAAAAGTTAAATAAAAATGGTTTTAAAGCGTATCAGTATTTTTGTAATGTTTTTCTTCACAATTACAATCTCTCCTAACCTCATTCATGGATCAAACAGACCAAGCCATAGAACCAGTGCTAACCGTAAACTCCTTTCCTGGGATGGTGGAAAAAGAAAACTAACAGAAATGGTGACTAAATTTGGGCAATTTCTCCTTAATTCCATCTCTTCCCATTCCTCTCCTTTTTGTTTAAATTTTTTTTAAATTGCTACTGCTATCAAAATACTGCCTATAATGAAGAAGATTTCACTGTTACAAGTTATCACAGTCATTTGAGGGTAAAAATTTATTTTCTAGATTTCCATAATTGGAACATGAACCTTTATGTTAACTACAGGATTATGTATAACTATTATTTGTTTTTCCCTGCATGTTATCTCCAATAAAAACAATTATGAGTTATATATTTTTTTAAAAAAATATATATATTTTTAAATATTAAATCACAGTATGGTATTAAAATGACCTATGATGATGTTTTAAGTCTACAAGATCACTAACTGAGTACCTCTATTCATTAAAAAAAAAGACAGACAAAGTAAGACCAAAAGACACATAAAAGGAATACTTGAAAAACTGTACATAAAACACATGCATGAGGAGTTGACATCTACTTACCACTGGACCTGTTTTTGCGGTTTGACTTCCCTCCTGTGAGAAGCATCTTGAGACTGTTTCGAAACATGGTGATCCTCTTCCGCTGTGTGTATCCCAAAACTGTGTAAAGCAAAAGAAAAACAGATGTAAAAAAAAAAAAAAAAAAGCAACACTCCAATTTGGTCAGCAGAAAAACGTTATAGAGAAGTGGTAAGAAAGTGCTAAAAACAAGATAAAAACTTAGAATGATGAAAGACTGGTTTGCCAATACATTCCTTAACAATAGAAATCAACATCCATGTAAAACCTACCAGTCTGTCTGCTTCTGTTCATCCAGGCTATTTCCAGACCTGCACAATTCCACTGCTGCTAGCACGACCTACCTATTTTGTCAAATTATTTGGCCAAATTATTATTACACTAAACTGGGAAAGACACGGCATTTAGCAAACTCTGTCTCCATTTGCTGTTACTATTAAAGCCAAACCTATCAGAAAGGGTTGCTACCCTTCACGTTGCTCAGAGGGAAAAAAAAAATAAAAATCATCAATCTTGCTGACAACCCACAGACTACAAAAACTGTTGTCTTTAGCTCCTGGGCTAGTTGACTGTCAAATTCTTCTCTGAGTTGAATAAATTGTCATGTGAAGGAAAGCCACTCAAACCCAGAGTTAACTGATGCAAAAAATCAAACAGAAACATTATCCATATATTTTCCTTGCTCTGTATGTCTGGGGAAAAAAAAAAAAAAGTTGTCTCTGTGCTGTTGAAGATGAAAGGATGAGCTTCTGGGTTCACCAGACACACTGACAGCTTGTTCTGGTGGAACATCCTCTTATTAAAGTAGGTAAACCATCAAAACAGCAGCAACAAAAACAGCTCCTAACTAGACCAAAAGAATAGTAACGAGTCTTTGATCAGGACATACAATAAACCACAACCTTCGTTCTATTGTAAACATAATATCCCATAGTTACAAGGTACACATTCATCTTGCATAGATGTATCAAGGTTTTTTCCTGTAACAATACTGGGTTCTTCTTGGTGGATGCTCAATAAATGCGATCTTGAGTTTCATCACATTCACCTAATACGTTCAAGTATATTAATACAATAATACCTAGTTCAAAGAGCTTTACATACATATTTAAAGCCACTGAAAGTCCTTTTAATATGACTTACTGAGAGATACTAACACGCCAAGGCAGCAGCTCAGCACTGTAACCCCCCGTAACACCAGTAAGCATGCACAGATGACTAACTTCAGCCCTTCCTGACGTTCAGAGACTCCCATTCACTTGTTAGATTCTACAGACAGATTTGGGGGTATGCTTGTCTACATGCACATATGTAGGCGTGCACGAATATTAAACAGAAAATACAGCACCAGTGTTTCCTTTGCGTCTATGAATTGCTTGAGTGTCATCTGGCATCTTTCTAAGGCCTTGCATAATGACATCAAAGCACAACGAGCCAGTATTTTGGATTATTCCCAGGGCTCCTAAACAAAGCTTAGGCCTCTCTTCGAAGCATCCTACTGTTACGTGACTATAAAAAAAAAAAAAATTCCCATCTGGGCACAAATGTAATTGTCTTAAATTTGACTTCTGTTTATTTAGTTTCTTTAGATGGCTGTTATGTTCCAGCTCACAGCATAGAAAGAAAACTTCTGGATTTACATATCCTTCCTCTCTACAACCTGTTACTAACAGACTCCTTCATATACAGCATTTGCACAACATCAGAAGGAGAAAATATGATGTAGACCTTAAATGTAAAAAGGAGGCAACCACACTCAAAGTGTCATTTATTTTGGAACATGTTAATATTATAATCCCTCCAACATCCCACTAATCCAAATGAATTTATCTAGGCTTTGAGCAAGAGAACAAGGCGGCAGTAGACACCTCCTGCTACTATTTGGAGAACTGCTTGACTCTGCATGTGACTCCTCTACGGTATTGAGCAGTACGCTGGTAACATGATGTGTACATTCAAGTGATCAATTTTCATTATTTATTTTTTTTTTTACAAAAAAGCAGATTCAAATGATTGCTATATTAAGCCAAGTGTCATAGCCACAATGAGGGTAATTTTTTTCCTAAATGTTAATGAACAGAAAAATGTAACTATCACCTAGCAACATTTTTCCAAGACAGACAAAACAAGAAGAGGTACTTTCTTTGTGCTCAGTGATAGTAATATGTACAAATACGGAGAAGAAGTTTAACCAGCTATTGGAGTTAATAACAATTCACACTAACGTACACAGCCGTGTCTCAGCAATCAAGCTGAGGTACTTCTGGAAGTGTAGCTGCAACTGTGAAGCAGGGAGCAAAGGGGAGGGAGGCTGGCTGACTGACTGACAATTTTCCCCTGCCGCAGGCACATAACGCAGCCTGCACCGAGCTCCTGTACCCCAGCCTAACCAACCTGCCCTAAGTACCCCAGCACAGCGACTGCAGTGCCACAGGTCTGAGTAGTACCTTGGAAGCACTCCCGCAGAAGTCATACTCAGAGTGTGTAACTCCAGCGAATTAAGCAATGACATCACCTGCAACCTGCAGACTTAAGTTACAGGTTTGATTTTCTATTCATGCTAGAGCAAATGAGAATCACCTCCACTGCTGATGACAGAATAACATCAGATTTTGACTATCACCAGCCAAAAATAACATCCTATTTTTCATCTTTTACCCACAGCATTAAGTGTACGAGTTAGCCAATGCAGGTGGAAGGGCAAAAGGGGATTCTAAAGTGCTCACGTTGCTATTTCAGATTTAGGTAAAAAGAGGGTAAATAAATAACAATCTTACAGCATTATGTGACACTAGGGTAGAAGAGAAAGATCCTGATAAAATCTCACTACATGGAAGTGTAGGATTATTTTTTTTCTATTGTTTATTTGTTCATTTTAAAAAAGCAGCTCTCCAGGTATTCCTTCTGAGTCCCATCTAAGTCTGGAAGGACAATCTATCTGTAATGGCAGAATCAAACTCTCATGGTAGCAGTGGACAGCCCAAAACTTCAAAGTTCCTGTGAATCAAGAAGGAGGTTTGGGACTACCCCCACATCAGCTTGCACTGAGAAGAGAACTGAGTGGAGTTGTGCCATCAGTGCCGAGGTACAACCTCATTAAACCTCATTATGCTAATGAAGCCAAGTGGACTGAGCCTGAACAGTGCCAAAGGTGAGGATAACAGTTTGCTGATGATGTTTACCTCTAGTCTCCACATGGCAAACTGTGCCAGAAATTGCTGTGCTGCTACTGGCATTACATTAAGTCTCTGTGCAGAGCATACATAAGGCCTCCATGAATTTGCTCCGAAAAACCATGGAGTAGAGAAACAACTGATGTCTTGTATTAGGACCCTGAGTTACCAGCCATGGGATGACTCAAGGATTAATTCCATATTCTCAGAGCTCACCTAGAAGTCTCAGAGGACTGCTATATCTACAGTGACCTGCACAGGCAGGAGATGGAAAGAAAGGACTTTTAACAATAGACCTAGTTTAGCCTCAACTCATGACATGGTTTCATTGCATCTTACAGACAATGGTGTAGTACTCTTAAGTGTAAGTACTCACTGAATTTATATCCTGATTAGTTAAGGTTTTCACAATGTAGAGTAGCAGAATCAGCAGGTCACCAAAATCAACTGCTGTTTTTCTTTTGCATGCACAACTCCATTATTTTGTGGCTTTAAGCAAATGTGGTCACAGTTCTCCCTCTGTTTAGCTAATACTAAGCCAGAAATAATATTTAACAGTAAGCACTCTAAATTAAAAATTCTGTTGGTCATATTAGTTCATGGAATTAGAAGGATTAAGTAGCAAATGGTATTACAGTATTAGGAGGAGCTGGATCAGGCATTTTTTCATACCCTTAGTGAGGTCCTCAACACATCTTACAGTCCAGGTTAATTCTCCTCTCGTCTCACAAGCTGCTGTGTCAGCAGAAGCTAAAGACAGAGTATGCTGATGGGATCCTTCCCACTGCCACAGGATACTGCTGTCATCAAATCAGGCCACCAAGAGCCACTACACTTGTCATTCAGCTTGTCATTTGAATCTTTACCAAATCTAACAAAAAAAATTACACAAGCAAAAGTCCCCAAAGACTATCATCAGGTAAATAAAAAGGTACTGTCTCTAAGAACTCTGTTTTATAGCATCAATGGCACTTCACAAAAGTAGCCTTTTTTTTTAAAAACAGCTCAAGAATCTTCTGGTTTATGTATAGACAGACTCTGCCACATGTTGTTTTATCTTCAAACAAAGCTAGATTTCAATGAAATACACAAACAAAACCAGTTTCTGGAGCATGAGAAAGCAGTAGTACAAACACAATGAGAGAAAAAAAACAAAGGCAAGGGAGTAGAGACATGCTGCAAGCTGCAACTTTACACCAAATGCTAAGCTTGAACAAGTCCGTAATATCTCATGGAATCCTCCTGGATGACTAAGGCCTATTTCTTTGTTTTCTTAATTTTAAGACAGAGTTTGTAGACAGGCTGTGAAAACTACTTCACATTTTGGGTGACTATACGTTGTTAGAGCCCACAGGAGTCATTTTTGCTTCTTTTTAGAGATTTCCTAGGGAAAGATATTGACTGTCAGACACAGCATTTCAAAATCAAAGTGAATTATTTTGCCCCATATACCACCACTAAAAGAGCTAGATCCCAATATTTTCCTCTTCTATGATCACCTCACTAAAAATAAAACTAATTTTAAGCTGATTAATAAAGCTAAGTGCAAAGCTAAGTGCTTTTCCCAAACAGTATTAGATGTCCATTGAGACATACAAACATTGCTTGGCCACTGCTGTCAAGCTTTGTGCAAGTTAGGATTGGAAGTTATTAAATATATACTTTTCAGAGTAGAACTCTAATCTCTGTTTTTTCCAACAATGAAAACTTTCTAACTACAAAAGTATTAAAGGAATGCAATCTAAGTTATATGTGCAATGCCCATTTCTTAAGAATTTTATTTCCCCCTTAATTCCTTCCTTGCCTCCAGAATGAAAACATCTACATAAAAGGACAAGCATTTCAGAAGTTGTTTCTAGAAAGTAAAATAACCGTAAACATTTTGGTCTTTCAAACATTTTAGAAGAAATTGATTTCTTTATACATGTTCACAATTTTCCTCCTTGAAATCTCAGGAGAAAGCCCAATTAGGCTGCCTGTGCATTACAGTGATGTTCACAGATTCGAGTAGTTCAAAGCAGCAGACTGTACAGTCAATGTAGCCAGTACAGAGCTTTAACTGAATGTGTGAAAAGGACAACTTAAAAAAAATTGCCCATACTTCCGAATTGGAGGTAGTTCAACAATTCTGTCAGCTGCCTCTTCATATATTAATTTGTGGTTGAAAAGTGAGTGAAGTAAAAGCCTGTAAACAAGAACACCTCTGTGCCAGACCATGAGATCCCATTAGCTCTTTGTCCAGTTCAGGCAGCAGCTCATACTGTAGCGAATTAAGACAGAATTTATTCCCAGAACCTTCATAATACTCAGCAAAAGTTTATGAACATGATCTAGTCAAAAATTCTCAAAAATTTTGTCTATAGATAGAGGTAAGTAAAGTATTTGCAAACTTCTACCAAAACAGATTTTTCAGTGAGAAATGACTACTTCTATCAGTGACAAACCACTTCCAAAAATTCAGAAGAGCATAAAACATGTGAATCTTAGAGCATCCTACCTCCACACGATGCTTTGCCAAGCTGTAGAGGAGAGCATTACAATATAGCTTAGCAGTATAGTCCCACCCAAACGTGCACGTTGAGAGCTCCCTGTGACAAATCACCCTTGATCATTGGGTGCAGAAGGCAGACAGGCATTCACACTACATTTCTGTCAGTTTATCATTAAAGATGAAACAAAACTTTGTAAATTGGAATAGAGACTTGGCAGCACCAAGTCAATGCATTATACTCAGAAGATCATGCCAAATAAAGTTTTAAAAACATACTCATTAGATGACTAAATTCCTGTACTTTTACTGCTGACAAATACCATGACAGTATTCTGTATTGACAAGCAGGAAAATAGTTAGCCCATACCTCACTGCTTATGCCTTTATTCATCTGCTTCTGTCTATCTCAGAATATCCTGAGGCATCACATTCCTTTAGCACATCTTCCCTTAATTCCCAATAGGACTGATGGAAAGAAAATTTCTTAAAAAGCATAATTCCTTGTATGTTTTTTCTGAAAAACAAGGTCCTCTGACCTTATGCAAAAGAACAGAAAAGCTTGTTACTCATAAAATATTCTATTTTAAAAGTCCGTGGTAACACCAGATTATCTCTTTTGGTGAAGGAAACTGAACTCACTACATGAGAAATGAAGAAGTGGGCATAATAAGAAGCATATATTAAGATGCCAAAAAAGAGGTACCTTTCTAAATATTAGTTTTCAGGATTTAAAAACATGCAAAGACTAAATTAACATTTATGAACAAACAAAAAGAAAAATCTAACCTTTCACAAGTTAGCGAACTGTTTTGAAAGAGCATTCCAACTTCAGACAGAAATAGGTAACAAGGACTTTTTTAAAACAAGTGACAGATTTATAAAGCTAATTATCACAAGATGAAAGAAATTGAAAAGTGAAAGGAAGACACCCAACACAAACCCAGTTAGGCTGTCAAGCATTTACTCCATGTATAACATATATCGTACACAGAAATCTGTTCCACATTCGCTTGCAGCAGCTGCTAGACTGAAACTTCCCATGCTGCTCAACTAAATTATTCAAAGCTTAACCTATACTCTTATTTTAAATTGCCCTGAAATTCAAGAGGATGTTTTGAGAGACAACCTAATGACAAGGACTAGTAGCCCAGTAAAGCACATTTCTGCAGCGCTGCGACGTTCTCAGGACGACCAGCCTGCCACACGCTGTAACTGGTAATTGTCAGGGTATGTCAGAAGCTCCACAAACTTCATGAAGATCAAATGCATTAAACTCTCTGCCTCACTTAACAGCTCTGACTCACAACAGGAGTGTGAATAACCAATTACAACTCTAAGTCAAAGGAAACCTATATTTATAAGCTTGGCCCATGCACATTTAAAAACACAGGAGCAGCATTTAGAGAGTAAATATTACCAGGAACTTTAGGAATTAAATAAGCGTTGTTGTAATCTAGCAAAAATGCCAAGAACTTCTAGGATTATTTGGAAAAAGGAAAACAAAAAAGGAATTAAAAGGACTAAACCCTATCAATTACAGGTTTTTAAGCAATTAAGAGTTTATTAGACAAAGTTCTCTAATAAGCTTTAGAACAACTTAGTATGCATAAAATACAATCATTTTCTGTTCCCTAAAGAAAGCCTAAACACTAATCATTAGGATGGGGGGGTCTGATGTGAAGGCCTATCTGTCCATCCCCTCTGGCCCCTCCTCAAGGGATCTCTTGACTACCCCTCCTACAGATGCTGCCACTAACCCCTGTAACTCAAGAGCCCCTGCATTTGTTCTCTCTCCTTTCCTCCTCTGAGCAGCCACATATGCCCGTACTGGTTTTGCTTCTCCAACTATCCCTGATGGAGATACATAAAAATACATTAAAATAACTAACAGCATTCACACTGGACAAGCAGGCAGCAGGTCAACGTGACAGCGCTTCATAAGGAAGCAGGAAGTCAGCTTTAGCAAAATAAAGCAGCCTTTAATGATAGAGTTGAAAAGTAATTCTGAGAGCACAACACAGTAATATTCCCACGTACGTGGAGTTCCCAGCAACAGCCCCAAGGTGAACATGGTCAGACATATTTCCTGATGAGTCTGTGCTGTTTATGTTCAGAGGTAACTTACAGACAGTTAAAGCCCGAGAGGCATGAGACAAGTACTATGATGGAAACTCATACAACTTACTCTGAGGAACAGCTCATTTTGGTACTGTGCTTGGAAAAACAGCACTTCCAGAGAGCTAATTAGTTGGGCAACAGTGCCAGACTGCAGCAGCTATTTGCTTCTGGAGCTGTAAGGCAGCAGGAGGACACCACCAGAAAGGTGCAATTCCCCATCACCCAGCACTGATGTACTCTGTGTAGGCTCGAGTTCCCCCTCCTCCATTAACAGGAAACATTTGTTTTTCATTTTGCCTAAAACTTACATCCTAGTAAAAAGGATGAAGAATAAAAGCACGACTGCTGGAAGAGAGAGATGCCACTGATAGACAGCTTAGGATTCACGCTGAATCTAGATAACCTTACTGTTCTCAAACAACAATTCTGGTGAGATAAGCTTGCTGATCACAGAATACTAACTAATATACTTTGCAACTTTAACTTGTCGGTCAAAGTTTGAATTTATTCTTCTGGGAAAAAAAATTCTCCAACAAAACTCTTTTATTGAAGTGTTGGGATTTAACACCAGAAAAACTAACGAGATCAGAAACACTGCTGAAAGAATGCAATCACTCACTAGAAGAAAGTCAGAAGTCAGAACCAGTTCTCTCTTGAACATGAAAATGCAGTGACCTTGAAATTAAGGAAATTTAATTTGAACAGGATTTTATCATTTTGCATAACCTGGTTTCTAATTCTAGATTAATGATACAGACTGAATTCATAAGGGACACTTACATTCTCTGTATACAATGTCACTTACACTGCCTCTGAGAAAAATGACAACCCAAGAAAAGTTAAGAATATGATCACCTCACTTTCATCAACTCATCTTCAGTGCTTTTAGTGCCTTCTGTGTTGCCCATCACCGTTAAAATTACTGCTTTGGTTTTAAATACTATTATTAGTAGCTGCGACCATCAACAACCATTTGAACTAGGTATTTAAGCTTGAAACAAAACGTGGCACTGTTCTGTAGAAGTTGAGTCGAGATAAACTCTCTGCCTTGGAAGAAACTTTAAGGCACTTTCTACAGCTGGAATCAACAAGCCTTGTTCTGCCAGGACCAACAATACTGATTTTGCCCCAAACCACTAGAAGAAGATTGAAGCGCTGCGAGTTTCTCCATCAGGAGCGGCTTGCACTTCAACTTTTAGCTATGACACAAAGCAGCCAAAAACCTGTCACTCAAAAAAAACACCAGCTACACACTGCATGTTCTGTTTGAGGCTCCTATCAATCTTAAGTTAATACTGAAGATACAGTGGTATTAGAGAAAATGAAAACAAAAAACTAGGTAGTGAATATGAAGTGGCAGGAAATGTTACAGCACTTGACTACTTTGACAGATAAAAGAAAACATGAATTATTTTCTTAACTTTTAAATGATGAAAAATGCATATTAAAATACAGACCTAATCAAGGAGCTGCTGTAAGCCTGCTCTGCAAACCTGCTCAAGTCTCAAGAATATTCAATATGGAACTGAAGCTCAATCCATTAGCAAGTACTGTGTTCTGAGAAAATCTCCAGAAGATTTTGGATTTTACAAAAATCTTGAAAAATTAAAACAGCAAATTATTTTTATATAGAATGCTGTGCACTCATATACTTTGTGTACCAAAAGGTATATATACTTTAATTAGCAGTTAGAATTAACTCTAAATAATGTAGAACCCTACAGAAAGAAATATCTTTATTACATCAGTTTTCCTGCTGATCACCTCCAGCAGGAAAAGATAAGAGAATGATCAAACACTAATACGTGAAAGCTATTACACCTTTTCCTCTAAATACAGAAACAATCAGGTTAAAACTGGGAAAACCAATATAGGAAGACAGTGCTCATGCTCCATGTTCCAAATCTAGGGAATCACAGATTAACACAGAAACAACAGAGGTCAACTTCAATTCTATTTAAACAAATAACTACAGCAAAGAAAATGTGGGATCATGGAAAGCACAAATTTCTCCTACCTTGATATCTTTAAACACGTGAAACCTCTAGTAAAAAGTGTCGTCTTCCATTCACTGAAAATCCTGAAAGACATAAAAAAAAAATAGAATTTAGCAGCATCTTCTCAACACACTACAGTGTCCCATGCTGTCTAGCTGCATGAACAGAACTGTAATAATCTCATCGCGGGAATAAACTCAACTTTTTCCAGAGTATTACTGAATGAGTTATCAGACAGCCCCCACTCTATCATCACAATTAAGATGTTAATGTTCATGCTCTTAAGTCTCTGCTAATCAATACTAATTTCAGTCACTTAACTCTTCCCTCTCAGCACTTTTCAAATAGGAGAAAAGCAGATCACATTTTCCTTTGACACACATCATATAGTGCACTATTTAAAAGGCAGTATGTTACTTCCAAATATTTTCCTTCAGCCTAGCAAGCTTTCCTGCTAAAATCCTGCAACCTCCCTTTAGTGTTTTTTTAAACCCAATCCTTACATAAACACAACTCCCATGCAGGGATTCAACACTAAATCAAGAGTTCGGTACTTGGCCCTTTGCTCTGTCACCACATACTTAGAGCAAGTTCATCAACAAAGAGCCCTGAAAAACGTATCTTGCTATTTATTGAAAAAGACCAGAGCACCCCTTTTAGTACCAGCATGTGTGTTTATTTGTGCTGACAGTATGGGTTACAGGCTTTACCAATCTATTATTTTAGAAATCACATTTGAGAAACAGCAAGTAGAAGGAAACAGACACATCTCATCTGTCAAACATCTGTCAAAAAAAAAAAAAAAATCAAAGTAAATTGGGGCCACCTTAAATTTACAAGTTTGAAGCAAAGTAGAATAATCCTCAGCCACTTTACTCAGGTTTTTTTTCTTCTCCTGCAAGAGGATAACTGAAAAGGAATTGACAGCTTAACTTGTAATTCACACCGCCTTCCAGAACCTTAACAGAAACTTCTCAGATAGTCTTATATGAATAATTTTGTATATAAAACTGTAAGACATTCCATAAATTCATGAAGCGATCCTATCTTACTTCCCAGGGTTGCCAATTACCTCCCTGCTTTCAATTTTTCACTTCTGTAGAAAAATAACTAAAAAGCTAGTAACCACATATGATGCTCACCAGGATGGTGGCGGCTTCAATCAGTCAAGCAAGGAAAGCACACAAACGCAGCTCTAGCCCCACTGCACTAGGAGGGATTCTTGCCACAGCAGGGAGGAAGGCTCTGTTCTCTGCCTGGCCAGTTGCCTCTCTGGCTCCCTGGCCTCTGCCGAGCCACCACCAGCTCCTGCACAGCCCTGACCCGGGCTCTGCACCCCGGGCTGCCTCGTCCCTTCTTCAAACTGCCCTGCTGGGTTCTGCAAATTCCTGCTTGCAGTCTAAGTCATCCCACTGCCTCATCTTTCCAGTCAGTAGGAACTGCATTGTCAGAAAGACTCAGCTGAAAACTTCTGAACGAGTGTCCAACCACACAGAGCAGAAGACCACAGTTATGGAACTTATTTTCACTGACACGTTCACATCAAGGAAGATTTTCATTAGGCCTTACTTCACAAAAAAACCCTATACTCCTTAGATCCTAAAGAAACAGAAGGAGAAAGGATCTTAAAACATTTGTTTGGCATTCTTCACAATTCTTTTGTACTTGCAAACACCTCCAGTGAGTGAATGAAGAGAGGTGGTTTTTTTTCTTTCAAAAGCAATGTTACAATTTTTGGAAAACTGGAGACATGCATGCAGGTTTGGAATAACTAAAAATAACTCCTTATAAATGTTTCAGTTTGCTGCCATCTATCTTCTTAATAGACCTCTTTTAATATGATACCCTGTAAAACAAAGAGTAGAATATGGCTTACGCGGTGTAGGCTGTAGATGAGTGCTGACTACCCATTATTTGCTCAATAACTTTCCATCTGTATTCAGAGAGCATATTTGATGAATATGCTCTGCATTGAGCTTTTCAATAGCAGAGCTTTCATCTGCTCATATTATTACATTAGAAATCTTTATGTGAATGCAGCAGATATTAGTGGTTGTCAATAAAAACTGAATGTCATTAAAGTGCTTTTATTCTTTAAATGTCTTTAACCCTCTAATTATATTTGTAAATTCCGCTATTTAACTGTATGAAAGTTATAAATTCTGACATGTTGTATCATAACAAATATATTATATTTAGAGACTAAGATACAAACAGTTTGGGGGGGGAATCAATTTTAGATTATTCCCTCTTGATTAAACACATAAACCACAGCTATGGTGTGTTTTAATCAGAAGCAACGTCCATTCAGGATTTCTCCAGATATTTTAAGAGTTTAGGGTTTTAAAACCTGTCCTGCAGTATGGCTGAAAGTAATAATTTTTTCTTTTTTTTTAATTACTCCCTTTTTTTTTTTTTTTAACTATTATATCAGTATAGTTTTTCCAAGCCAGTTCTCTTGGACTTTGCAGAAAAGAGGGTAATAGTCCTACTTCTTTAACTCTTATTTATCTCCAAAACCGACACGTTTGCTCCCCACAAGCACAAGGTGGGGTACTGGTGGCACAACCAGTCACAAAGCAGCAGTCCAGCACTGTCCTACCACCTGCAAAAAGTGCTTCAGTCTTGATATTCATTCTGCCTTTGGCCATCAACAAAGAAGCCAATTACTGTCAACTGAGATTTTTGCCCATAAAAGCCAACTAGGAATAGCCAGCTAACGACTTCCAACTGCCATTAAGTAATTTCCAAAAGAAGAAAACAAAGAAATGATGTTAAAAGGTACAAGTTAGTAATAACGTCACAAAGCCAAGTAAACAAAAAGTTAAGAAATACAAGAATTAAGGTTTAACATGGTCAGTAGATGAGGTAAGTAATTCAGACACAAAGCAGTCAATCTGCAGCCTTGGAGTCCTACATAATTTCTTGGTTATACCTGTGTAGGTAATAACTGTACTGAATTCTTCTGCTGAAGAATGCGTTAAAAACCAACCAAAGTGTAAAACTGCAAAAATATGCATATTTCCCATACCTCTAACATCCTTCACATCTAGCTTCAAATGATTTCTTAAAAATAAATTTTCTTATCTTTTGTTAAACATGTAAGTATATGGTCACAAGTTAAGTTCAGTCTCCAAACATCTACATCCTAGTGCATGAATGCACCAAAAAAAGCACAAAACAAAAGCTGGCTAAACTGACTACCCTAAAGAAGGGCTCCTAGTTAAGGTAAGAATTACTGAAATAGGTAAGAACAGTTTATGAAATTAAAAAAAATCAAAAAATCACAATATTGTCAACACTTTTAGCTGACAGAATTAAGCACCCTCCCATTGTTCTAACCCAGAAGACAAGCATCTACAAAAGGAACAAACACTTTCGGGTACAGCAATACATGATCCAGCTGCAATGTTCTCCTGTCAAACTAAAACCCATGACAGAAAGATGACTCAAAGCTTTAAAGATTTAAGAAAAGAAAATCTGCTTTCCACAGAAACTTGACTACAGCTGTACAGAAGTGCAGTATGAAATGATACTAGGAGGTCTGAATTCACAGGAACAAGTTTGAGAAGTCTGTTGAGATAAATACCACCCGTTCTGTATAAAATATCCAACATCAGTACTGAGCAAACTTCCAATTAACAGGAGGAAATATAAGACTAGTTTTCTATTCATCCTAGAGCAAACAAAGCAATCTTTTTTCCCATAATCTAAGCAAGCAGACGCTGCATTTGAGCAGGTAAAAATTCACAGCAATTTTGCGAAGCTAATTGAATTTGAAGCCCCTAAACCAAATGTAGCATAGGTCACATGTACCCTGATCTCAACAGTTTAATTATATTTTCCCAGAGAAATTAACAACTTACTCATACTTTTATCAACAGAACATTAATACACAGACATTAAACACAATGACCATCTGTCTTTGAAAACCATACACTACATCAGCGATCAGAACATGCTGCTCAACCAGTCCTGCTGGAAAGAAAAATCTCTGAAATGGTCTCATGAATAGGGATTTCCATCTTTAAATGAGGTTATTTTTCTCGTTTTGGCTGTCAGTTGCACCAGCTGGTATTCATCTGATAAATTGAGTAAGCTTGGATGGTATTCTAAAAATCAAATAAAAATCACAGTTTCAATTCTTTGCACATACATACATGTTGGAAACAAAATACACTGACAAAAAAAAATAGTCTTGATTCTAGTTCTAACTCACATAAATTCACGTTTAAGCAAAATGTGTGTTTTAATGATGGCTAACATCTAACAAATCAAGGATCAGAAAAAATGGCAATATTCTCTAAATTACAGTAACGTAAATACGGCTGGCCTAACTTTATTAGGGACTAATCTGGAAAACAAGTCTCTTCTCAACTTCTTATTCTCTGATTAAAAGATTTGAATCACGTTACCATACATAATTACTGTACTTACAGAGATCGTTATATAGGAATGTATACCATTGAAGAATTCCACAAATAAAACCATACAACATAACACTTCAGTCCACAATTAGATATATCTTGTCGGATTTTCAACAGTATTAAGCAAGCATCCACTCTACCATATTCTAAGTTGGCAACAGTTTCTTCATGATCATCACTCTAAATAACTATGGGAAAGAATCCAGACATCAATGGAATTATGGAAAAGAAAAAAACAAAAAACAACAAACCAGAAAATTGTCCATGCTTTAAATTAAGATTCACCCCATGTGCCTTAAATTAAAAAAAAAAAAAACCAAAAAAAAACCACCACCACCACCCACAAAAAAACCCACTGCTCTGTGTGTACGGATGACATTTACATTCTATAACTCAGACTCCTGATTGTATATCAAAATTATGATGAGCTTCCATTTTATTTCCTGCTTAACAAATGGTTCCAAGCTATTAATGGAGTATCCCATTTTTCAGCATCTTAATAATGTTTATCAAAATTTACAATCTACTAGCAGACTGATTTGGGGGACAGGAGCTCATTGTTTCATTGTTACAGTGACCAGTGCTATAAAGCTCTCACCTTTCTAATGCCTTCAGATGCTAATTACCATAACGTGTTTAATAACATTAAACACAAC